TTTTCATCTTTTCACGGTGTATAATTTACCTTTTCATCATTACTGTTTCATTAGAAACACCGACGCAGCTCACACTAGTTTTTAGCTAGTTATATCTTTCCAGAGACAGGGCCGTAGCCACCGATACGGTTGGTCCGGTTTCAACCGAACCAAAGTTCGGGAAAAAATATAAGAAAACTAGGAGCAGGCGTAGCTCAGTTGGTTAGTGCGCGACCTTCGGAGCTGAGGTCCACGGTACGATCATTAGGATCTCCACGTCTGTTTCGACTTCTCTCTAATCCGTGTAGCTTCAGCTTTAAACTGATGGAGAGAGGGGTTAAAGTGCGCACCGTCGGCTTCCATTGATAGCAGTTGAATTTCAACTGAAGGAACTACTTTAAAACCGAACCAATCAGAAATTTGTGACTGCGACCCTGAGAGATCGTTCTGACTGACAAAAGAGAGGAAACAACCGCTAGGGAACTCCTCGCTTGAATCTTGATTTAAGCCTTCTAGAGAGATCGAGCAACACATGACGAAGGGATGACAGAAGCCTCAACTGTTCTTCATGAACATTTGAACACATGCAATTATATATTAATACTGGTTGACTAAATTTATATTAAATTTGATAAAGAACTACATAAATAAATATACTACAAAGCTGTAAGTTCGCTCCTCCTAGTCTCTTGTCACATGATCAGGCTCAGAGTTGACCAGGAACGCCTGGCTCAAAAATGTTTCAAAAGTAATTTGTGTTTGCAAGTAATGCGATCACTGTTCGCAAGTAATGAATGAAAGCCAAAGCGGAAGTCGCTATGTTGGAATGTGAAGAATTAATTGAAAAGGATCGTCGTATTAGACGTAAGCGAGGTGTGAGCTTCGATAGTATTAAATGGGCACAAACCGGATTCGTTTTGTTAAAGTCATTTAGTGAAAGGAAGGTCTTTGATAAATAATGCTGCAAAGAGCAGTGTTTTCAAAGTAGTGATGCCGAAAGACGTGTTTCAAAAGTAATCCGTGTTTCTGCAAGTAATACATGGTGGTAAAAGATATGAATTCAAAAATAATTTACACAAGAACAGTTTCAAAAGTCAGTTGTCTTCTAGGTTACATGTTTTCAAAGGTAATTTGAGTGAAACAAACATGTTTTTGTAAGTAATAAGCGGTAAAAAGATATGAATTTAAAAGTAATTGGCACRAGCTACACATATCTAATTTTGAACCCGAAAACGCGCCATAGTCGCGTAGGCTTGAGTTGGTCGACGACATTTTTTGGATTGACTGTATATAAATAAAAATCCTTAAGTTCAAGTTCTGCATTAGGCTCATAGTTTTATTAATGGTACAGGAGCACAGTGGCGGATCTAAGGGTGGGTTTTGGGGGTTGCAACCCCCCTATGAGAGCCGTCGTGATTTTTTCTTTTCATGACAACACCAACATCATCGCGAGTTTTATCAAAGCCGAACACATTTCACTCTTTTCTATACGCCGTGTGTGGGACCTGAAACAACCATGTTCACCTGCAGCAAATAATCATTATCATAAGACCTACTTCCGTTTGGGAACCCTGTGCTACTTTCCCGCCAAACAAGTACCTCAATCAATGCTACAACCCCCCCTGAAAAAATCCTGGATCCGCCCCTGAAGCATTCAGTAGTGTTTAATCAACAAGCAAGATTTGCAAGATTATCAAACAGCTTCAAAAATTGAAATAATTTTCATGGTTGACAAATATGAGTCTTCAAGATATTTTCTTTGTTTCTTTCTCACGGTCATGTGATGTCCGTCCAAGAAGGCTCCATTAGTTGAGGACAGTATGTCAACATCAAGACAGGTGCACTGGTTGATGAGATATCACAAGTAAACGGAGCAATGGTTCATAAATTATGAGTTATTGAATCAAGATTATCCTATAAGAAACTTTTTACAGGACAAAGGAATGGTTGCTGGTATCATACAAGAAGGGATTCCTTCAACACAAACCCATCACGACTATGTGTACACTATAGACCTTATTCGTTGTGTGACAAAGTTTTCCCAATTGAACGTGACAAACCTCTAGGGGAATGAGCAACTATTGTTTTGAAACTCGCACACAAACTCGTCGGGATATCATTGTTATTCCTTTCCTATGCTTTGGGATACTTATGAATTTTTGGAAGAGTAAAAACAAAAGAAAATGAATCCACTAGAGGTTTGTCACACTGAATTGGGAAAAGATTGTCACACCACGAGTAAGGTATATTGCTGGGGTTGAGGAATCAAAGCACAATGGAGCGGTACTGTAACAACCATTTATCACTCACAAGAAAACTGGTCACATTTAAAGTAACAAAGGCAGTAACATAATTGCATGGGTCTATATTATCTACATCTATCACTGACATGCAGTCTGCCAATGCTATGAGGTCATTGGGTCATATAGAAGGAAATACATGTGATTAACTTTTGTTTAGTTGAATTGAATCAAAATCTTAGCATTTTGATGCAAATCTGATAAACATTTTGGACCTAACTAACTATTTCTTTATACATCAGATCAAGATATGCAATTCACCTTTTGAGGGCTAGCCACCACATGGTATATAACCTGTTGGATTGTGTTACGCTCATTAAGAATTTGTTTGGAAATCTGTAAACAATGTTTGAGCTTTTTGGTGACCGTAACACAATGCAACACGTATTGGGCTAGCACTCAAAAATTGAATTACAAAAGAAAACAATAAACACAGCCTATAATCGCACACATTCATCGTGGATAGTAATCAAGATTGGGTGCATGGTGTTCTATTTACGATGCATTAACATTTCTCTTATGCTATCTTCATGACTTTTGACAGACTTCTGTAAATAATCCTTGTTGGCCTGAATAAATCATAAAAAAGAATCAGTCAGCATCCAACAAGTAGTTGGATATTGGGTCAGCCATGCTAGAGAGGGAATGAAAGGAAAAATGTTTGGGGAGTGGAGTGGAGACAGCAACTCTTTGTGATTAGGGAAGGGTGTGCATATTTTTTTTCAATATCATTATTAGCATCATACAAATGAAAGAACAATGCAACAGTGTAGTACACAACTACTACTTAACCTACCTCAATGTTTTTGATTTTCTCTTCATTAGCCTTTACTCTTGCTGATATTGTGGTCCTAACATCTGATATAGGTTGTAATACAAACCTGAAGATTGAATCAAGATTTAATTAAACACATGATGCACACAATAATAGTATCAATTGTAAACCATAATACTTCATTTAAACTACACTGCTATGTGATCCACAAAGTTTTGATTATTTTCTATAATACTGTCCAATTATAGTCTCATACTTTTCTATCCTTTGAACAACAAGATATGTTGACTCATAATCCATACCAGCTGAGTGGTGAGTGCAGTGAACAAAGCACAGTGGACAAAATGACCAGCCCTGAGCATTTTTGGAGCTTGAATGGTGAAGCAATCATGGCAGTAAAGTTAATTCGTTCTTAATTTTTCTTTCCGCAATTCTGCTTCTTTTAGTCAAAAGAAATAAAAAAACATCAAAAGTTGGGATACAGTAGCATGGGGATGAAAGCTGACAGCAAAACAGCTAAAAGTGCTGTGATTGGCTGAAACAAAATCCCCCACTCAGTTGGTATGGGTAGGGGATTAATTGCTTMTTTTTAACATGCCAAATGCTTTCAAATTGCATAGATCTTTTCATAGATCTTCACATGGACTGTACATGAAAAAAGGCTGTTAAAGACAAACTACATAGCTCTAGATGGAAGATAAGTCTTTCTAGAGTGCATGACCATAAATAGTCTGCACCAMCACTAAACATTCTGATTTTACAGGAAGAAAATACTGACATGTTCATTGGCTGCTGGAAGCCAGCAACTAGCTTTTATTTTAGCAATCTTGGATATATTGCTGCTTGCAATATTCATCTGTATATATATAACAATGCAAGTGTCCATGGACCTTTATCACACGGCGCCCATGTTTATTTTCTTTGTTTCCCCAGCATAAATTAATTCTCAAGCACTTGAATTTGAGGCTACGCGTGGTGGAATCTATCATTCAATTCAACATGGCTGCCGCGTGAATAAGGCCCATGGTTCCTTTGTATGACATATTAGCTATCACCTATATCCTTTAGCTCTAATAGCCTTTTTTTWAATAAATAGGTTAATGCAAGCTTATCTTACATTCTGCCTATAGACTCATATGTTTTAGTGTCTTCCTGGAGGGTGCTGAGCTCTTGATCAGTCAGTGTTGCATGTTGGTTTGCTCTCTTTAGCTGATCTATTTGAGCTTCGGCTATTTTCACTTTCTGTGTTGTGTCAATCACTTTGACTTGAAGTTCTTGGAATGCCTAAGACAAAGTTACATTATTTAATAATTATAATCTATGTTCTCTTTTTCCCGTACCTAATTTATCTCCTTCCTCCTCTCTTACACAGAAATAGAAAAGGTTTCAAGAAGTTGGGGAGGAATTTTAGGGGGTTTCAGGTGGAAGAGGGGGGGGGGGGNTTGGTTGACAGAAACCAGGCTTGGTTTTGTCTCACTCTGGGTTAATAAGTTACTCACTTTGTCTCACTTTGTCTTTTAGAATGCAATTTGGCATAAGGTTCATGTAATCTGATTTAGTAAGGCTAAAGTCGTGGTTGATAACAGATAAGACTGGCTCATTCACATGTTCTACGAAACACACCCAGTCTTGTACATGGTTGACAACCAAACTTTCACACTATCATTGCAGTTTTTCAGTAGATTCGCCTAGTTAGCAGTGAAAGACCAGCTATAGGTAGGCGGAGTACGCCCTTATTTACYCTTCTAAAGAAGAAACAAGTTAATACATTAATAGATAAACATAGTAAAACGTTTTTTACTTACTTTCCTTAGCTCTGAGTCAAACGTGGTCGCCATCTTGGGAAACTGTTTACGCCCGCAGTACAATGCCGCTGGAAGAGTACGAACCCAACACGATTAGATATCGACTACTAGTTGATGTTTCAGTAATGCATTAATTCTGAGAACAAGACTTAATTTTGAATACAATAAGCATTGTCTTGTTTAAAAATAGCAATACTTAAATTTTAACTAATCTTGTAATTTAAAAATTTTGATTTTTGCCGTACCAAACTTAAGGAATTCATTTCCGCTTTTTTATCAATTGATGTCAAAATGGAACTCAGTGGAGACCCCTAAGAAAAAAAATAGTAAACATGGCGGCTGTTTGTGATTTGACAAATTGTGCTTGTAAGATAGCCAGCTGATGGACTTAAAGCTATCCAATACTGTGAACATTTAGTTTGCAAGTTATATCATCTGTAAGGGAGTACGATTCTGAAGATGTTTGTCTCTACGAGTTGCAAGGTTATGCGAAAGGCAAACCTGCTGTTAAAGTCAAGTGCAAATTGTTCTTATTTGCTTCGTCGTTTTAAGAGCAAGATCCATTGTGTTGACACTTGGRCAATTCCTATTCGTTCAAATGGATTTGCTGTAGTCAATACTCACTTTACAACGTATATAAAACCATTGGACCCGCTTGAATACATAGAGAAACCTGAAATATGGCCTCACAAGCTTGATGATGGCACTCAAGCCAGCGCACGTGTTTCTCTGAATCTGAGACTACCAGAAGAATCTGACTTGAAAATAGACGAAACGTTCGTAGATGAATTCACCAAGGACATAAGATATAACCCACAGTTGAATATTGAGAGTCAACGGTACTTTCTAGTGGTTAGTATCCATAGGTTGTTATGTAACTACAAATCAGGGGGTGGGGTGGGTAGGGGTTGATGTGTCTTGGTCACAGGGTGGTATGTTTATGGAGTGTGTAACAAGGTACCTGTTTCTCTATAAACCCATGCATTTTTTATTTCTTATTTTCCTTTGACTGGCAACCAAAACAAAAATCAACTTACTGCATATATTAGTATTATGCAAACTCAGTAGTTGCAAGTTGCATGCTAAAGTTTTTTGTTTGTTTTTTTTTGCTTTCATCAATCAAAAATGATTTGCAAGAGTGAAAACCACATTTCAATAGGCAAATTGCAACTACTGATTTCATATATTATCATGTAATTATGCAGAGAATACGTGCATGATGATATGGGAAAAGAACATGCCTGATATGAGACTGTATCAGCACTCCTCATCTGCTTAGTGGGATSTGGTACAATAGAGTTTAGAGGGAGTTTGAGCATTTCTTTGCAGAATTAAATGATAAACAACATATTGAAGCAGTAAATGTTTAACAATAAAAATGATCTTAATAGTATGGAATTATCCATACAATCATGTATATAACTTTAGCAAAAGTTGGCGTTTACAAACATTACCATTGTAACATGAATTTGCCAAGCTTCTTTTATACTGTACCCTGGATTCAAACCTGAGACCCCACAAGTGAGAGAGAAGTTATCTAACACTGCATAACCCTTGATTATAATGATAACTAATAATGGTCATGTTAGTGTACTATTAAAAATTTTTTTTATATATATTCATTTTGAAATTTTTTATTCTATATACAACTACTTGCAAGAACATTGTCATACGAAAATAGAACATTAGTGATTTAGTGGGATAGGAATTATATTAAAAAACAAAAGAAGATCACTGAAGCTGAACTTTTTCTTTTGTCTTGTAATGTATTCCTTTCTCACTAAATTACTAATGTTCTAATATCGTATGACAACGTTCTTCAGTGCAAGTAGGTGTATTAGAATATAGTTATTTCATATATTAAAGTGCCTATCACCCTTCTGACAATATTCACAGTATTGATTCTACATGGGGTAAGATGTGGAATAACCCGAAAATATTTCATAGCTTGAGTGTGGCTACTTGAAATCATAAAGGTTTTTCCATGCCATATGCTAGTGCTATTTCAGAATGGGTGATAGGCACTTTTGTTACATAATAAAATATTCATGATATCAATCATTTTTCATGAACAGGTGAAAGGTAGACCGCAGCGTAGATTCACTTTTCCTCCAGAAGACATCAGTTTAGTCCTTGAAGTCCCTACGCAGTTCAATATACAAGTGAATGCATCAGACAATGCAGATGTTCATGTTGAAAATCTCGAAGGTGGCTGGCTATATGAGGTAACTACTGACCAAGGAAGCTGTTATTTATCTAAGCTCAAAGGTCAAGACCTTCATGTCCTATCTTCACATGGCAATATCATATCTAAAAGTAATTTGGTTGCTGAGTTTGGAACCCTAGCTGTGGAAAATAATGGCAAGATTTGTGTCAACAAGTTACAGRGCCGTAAGTTCTGTTTGGATTCAGAAGTGGGGACAATCAGTACTGGCGCATTATATTTACAAAGAGGAGAGGTGAAATCAGAATCTGGGAATATTAGTCTTGGAGACATCCATGGTAAGTTGAAGTTCTAATCCAGAGGGAGGGGACTACATGCACCACAAATAGGCAGCTTCTACTCATTGTGTTGTAGGTTTGACCATGGTGCAATTAAATCCTAGCCAGAATTCTAGCCTGAGATCATAAGTAGATCCTGCAAAGAATCTTTTTTAGGATCCTGTTTTAAGATCTGTAGGATCCTACACAATCTTATGGGATCTTACAAAATACTTCTATTTATCATATAATTATCCATAAAATACCTATATTTCTCCTTTTCGAAAAACTGTTATTTTCACATGTGAAAATAACATGTTATTTTCACATGTGAAAATATCTTTACCATGTGTATTTAAGCTATTAGTTGGTTAGTTATCATAATAAAAAGCTTATTAAGTTGATTTTATGGATAAATATATAATAAACAGAATATTACATGGGCGCTTGGACATACGAAATTCATAAATTTCGTATCTCCGCGCGCCCATGTTATATCCTCTATATATTTAATCATGCAGCAAGTACCAAAGATCTGTTAACTGTAAATATATATAAGTTCTTGAGATAAACAACATACTTGGCTTTCCATCATTATGTAGGTATTATAGACGTTAACCAAGGAAAAGGTGACATATCCATTGGCTCTGTTTCTGGTGACCTGCTTGCTGTAGCTAATGAAGGAAACCTCAATCTACATCTTTCTCAACCCAACAATATTAAACTGAAAGCTAAACAGGGTAAGATAAATTTGTATAATTCATAAGTAGGGTAATTCCTCTCTTTGCAAAAACTAATTTCAATTTGACTTTCTTTGAGTAGTGCCTTGACTTAGATCACTCTAGATGTTGTTTCAGATTTTTGTTAAACTGAAGGTTTTTGGGTCATGTTAATGAGGCTATTGCATCATTGGAGCCTTGGTACCAACACCAATAATCATAAGACACCAGCCAAACTATCTCAATTGAACTTGCTTATTTTCTAACACAGGAGGTAACATAACCGTGTCAATGAACAAAGAAACACAGTCAACAGCAATTCATGTGAAAGCTAAAGACATCAACATTGACCCGGTGATGAACATGTCTGTAGAGAATAAAGATGAAGGAGAAAACTTTACAGTCCTGTCTGCTGTAGTGAATGGCACCGTTACTGATGACAGTCTAGGAGGTCATCAAAATACCATCAATATTGAAGCTAAACATGGGACTTTTAAACTAGAAACACAAGACTGGCTGAGTTCACTGAACTTGAAAAATATATAAGTTATGGCACTTTGCCAAGGGTACTGGAGACTCATTTACTACAATTTCCATAAACATGCTTATTGCCTTATTCACAAATTTCTTTAAGTGTGAGTAACTCCATCTTATTTGCAACAAACTGCACATGATCTTCTATAAACTTTGTCATCTCATCACTTGGTTATGCTGACAGCCTTGGCCATCCATCGGCAATGTTATTTGCTCCAGTCTCATAAACCAATGTGACGTCATAATCTTGGGTTCGCAACGCAATTCTTTCTAACCTTATCGATTGTGAAGGCTTTGAAAATACAGACACTATAACGGGCTGTGATCTGTTGCAACTGTGACATGGCGACCAAATACATACTTGTGTAACTTTTTAATCCAGAGAGGACAGCGAGAGCCTGGCGGTCAATTTGGGGATACCTCTTTTCTACGTCTGTTAATCCACACGGGATGCATACACTACTGAACTTATTCCACTCTCAGTTTTTTGTAGCAGCACGGCAGCCAAACCAACCGGGCTTTTGTTTCTGCCTCCATTCTGTAATGAGCTAAACAGGGTGCGCCAGATAGTAATTGTTTTACCTGGCTGTACGCGTCAGTATCTCTTTTTGTCCACTTCCAGGCTACTCCCTTTTGGGTCAAGGCTCGTATTCGGGCTAGTACCATTGCRAGGTTTGGCAAATACTGCGTTAGATATGTAATACTTCCGAGAAACGATCGAAGCTCTGCTGCATTCTCTGGCACTGGAGCAAAAGCGATAGCCTTGATTTTCCCCGGATCTGGTCTGATCCCATCAGCTTAGATAATACGACCTTGAAATTCCAGCTCTTTCACACCCATACCGCATTTAGCTTTATTGAATTTAAGGCTTGCTCTCCTCAATCCTGTAACACTTGTCTCAAGTTCTGCTAGTGTTCTTCTGGAGTTGACCAATACACAACAATATCGTCAAAGTAGTTGAGTACTCCCTTCAGCCCTTCGAAAAAACAAAATTCAGCGTGCAGCTCGTAGACACGAAAATTTTAACTATTTCAACAGCCACACACACCTAACGATTAAGTTATTTTTTAACATATCCTGGTTATCACATTCATTGTATATTCAAGCTTTATTTCAATTTACTGTATTATTTTTGTAAGTAAATTTATGTGTGTGAATAATAAAAAAGTTTAAAGTCTAAGTTCGCTTTTTTATAAAAATTGCAGTAATGTGTTTGGTTTCAGGTAATAAAAGGAAATAACTGGTTCAAAATTTGAAGAATTTGATGAAACTGTAATTAATAATAGTCTCCTTCACAGTTCCTTGTACCATCTTTAAAGGGCCACTTGGACGAAAATCGCTCCAAAATTAAAACTCTTTCATTCGAGCTGGAACTTTGCTGAAA